AAAGTTGATTTATTCATGTTCATAAAATCTCTTATTCACAACAATTGCAGCCATAGCAGTGATGTAGAAACGATTTTGAAAGGGTCGGGGGGTGGGGATGGGGGGGGGGGTAAATTAAACTTACCTGAAAAGAATTTGCCAAGCGAAAAAAAAGACAATTGTTTGATTCGGGAGGTGGGATAAGAGTAAACTCCAGCATCTTTCATTTTCTTAACCTCCTTTATGGTGCTTTTTGTATAATATCCCCTGTCAGTATTTTTATAAGATTGTACCAATTTAAAATTGACAGAAAGCACACAACTAACTGCAGAACTGTAGCTCTCCAAAAAAAACATATATTGATAGATCAGAGAGCAACAGTGCCAGCCATTGAAAAAACTGTATATTTATTGCGCACAAAAAAATGCACTGTTTCTCGATTTATTTCTCCGTGTTCTTAAAACTGTCATCTCAAAATTTTACCAACTGTGTGTTCCTAACATATTCTTTCACCGTTTCCACAACAAAAAATCCTTATAATTGTTTCTAATAGCCCTCCTGGGCCTGGAATTGAGAAGATATTTTGGTCTAACGCGCTTCGTACAGATGTAAACCACGAGTGCTTGAGGACAGGACCCCATCCCCCTTCGATATAGACCCCTAGGCTTTTTCGAATTCTTTCTCATAAAATATCTTTCATTGCCATATTTGTGATAATATCTATACCAGCAAATCGAAAAATTACCTAAAACAAACGTTATATTAAATCTACCCTACATTCTCTATATAAAAATCATATAGAGATGGTAGATATTTTTATGAAATGTAATTTTAAACAAATTTTCTAAATTGATTAGGATAGATTATATCACATTGTTTTGTAAATGGGGGGGGGGGGGGGGGGGGGGGTCCTGTCCTCCAGCACCTGTGATGTAAACCATGCCGTTAATTGATAAAGGAGTAAAGACTTTATTGAAATTTAGCCGATTTTGCAATTGAGGTAAAAATTTGGAAGAATTAATCTAGAACCAAGCGCATTTTTTATGCGCAATAAAAATACAGGTGGCACTGTAGCCTTCCGGTCTATATATATTTTTTCGGAGAGCTACAGTTTTGCAGCTAGCAAACAACTTACTGCAGGCTCAAATTTTATATGTTCAAGTCTCAAAATTAATATAAATGATACTGGGTCCATTTGAATTTAAATACTTGTAATTTCCCTTTTATTGATTTATAAAGAAACTAACATACAAAATGTAAGGACCATAATGATTGATTTTATATTGTTTAACGTCCCTCTCGAGAATTTTTCACTCATATGGAGACGCCACCACTTGCCGGTGGAGGGCTACAAATTTTGTCCTATGCTCGGCACTCAGGGCCTTTGCAGTGAGGGATCTTTTTCGTGCCAGCACCTACGCGACACGGGGCCTCGGTTTATACGGTCTCATCCGAAAGACCGGTCTCCACATCCCACAGTGGGATTCGAACCTGCGACGTAAGGATTGACTCCTTACTTATTAGAGCAGGTAACCACTGCGCCACGCGGGCGACGTAAGGACCATAATGATATATTCATATGATTGTTGAAAAATTGCAAGTAAACCAATACAATTTATTATGTTTTTTTTCATTCTAAACAATTGGCAAAATGCTAATCCTCATATTAGGGGTAATTTCTGACAATTAACTTTTATTTAATTTTGATATTTTGCACTCTTAATTCATTCAAAGAAAATTTTTACATGTTTCAATATTTAACAACAATTATTTATAATTTAAAGTACTATATTTGACTTTGTAACCCACTTGAGTTTGAGCAGTTTTTTCGAAAAATTGGTAATTTGTAAATCCCCATATCTCAATTATTTATTAATTCCCAAGCTCAATATTTGGCAAAGATTATGTTTAGAGCTATATTTGTACAATAAAATCAAAAAAATTAATTTCAAAGATTGGTCTTGGAAGATTTTGGGCATTAAAATTGTAATACTTTTGGCAATTCTTGAAATTTGGCATCATGCCAATTTTCAAGAGTTGTCTGTCCTTTGATATATTGCATATTTGATTATGATAAATGTAATTTTGAAAGTACATATTCTTATGTTATTCAAAATACCTTAATGGAAATGTAACTTTAATTTTGAGTAAAATAAATCAAATGTGAATTTTACCATTTTTCTTGAATTTTTTAAGTGCATTTGCACTTAAAGGTGCAAAAAGGAGGTGTCGCTGCCTACGGGTGCAATGTTGAATGATGGAATTTTTTTTGTCAATTTTTAATAACATATTATAAAGTCTAACTACCCACCAGATTTCATTAAGATATGACAACCTTCGATTTGGACAGTTCTGCATGGTTTTCTCGCGGACTAGCTCTTAAAACATAAATGTTGACCCCACGAATATACATGATTTTTCAGATTTTCTTTACCTTTCTATTATACATTGTTTATTAATTAATTAATTTATTTATTCATTTATTTATTTGGGTTTTCTCTTTATAAAACTTGGTATTATTCCGACTACTGACTGAAAAAATTAAGCCCTTGAGGAAGGTCGCACGTTTACTTCATAAAAATTCTTACGAGAAAACATATCCTAAAAATTTTATACAATGTTCCTTAGAATTTACAGCGTATTATGTGTAATTTTCATTAAATTTGCCTACGTTGTTTTAATGCTAAAGTACTGTAAAAAGTTTTAGTTTTTTGTACTTTTTTTACGCTTTACGATCGAAATATATGGAAAAATGATGTTTTTGTGAAAATAGCTTCTTTTTTAAAAAGTTGGATAACTTTTTAAAGACGTAGACGAAATATTCAGGAATTACAAAATGTCAAGATGAGGTAAAATCAAAACTATTGATATAAGAAAAATCAATATTTCTTCACGGTAGATTTTTTGCTAAATAATTTCAAAGTGTGGTTTAATATTGCTAAGATATTGCGTTTATGGCGTTATTTATTATTATTTATTATATACAACGTCATTTGTTGAATGTAGTCACGTTTACAGTACGTAAAGTATAAATATCTTAACATTTGGAATATGCAAGATTTTGAAGGTGACATAGATGCAAAATGTAATTTTATTCATCATTTATTTTACTGAGGTTGACCAGCAAGTTATTTTAACTATTGTTGTGAAATTCACATTCTGATCACAGTCAGAATGAACGATATAAACAATCCTCATGGATGAGAATTAACATCGGGCGTCAACAACGCTAGTGATAAAATATTATTTTAGTTCCTGTATTTATTTAGGAAATTAATGATCAGTAGGATTTCAGGCATAAAACACAATTTTGATCACTTTATTAGAAAACGGTAAAGAAAAAACTTTCCGATACCGAGAAAATTAGCGGCTTGGGGTGGGGGATGATGGTTACCTGCAGTTTATTTTCTATGTTCGTCACAAGCTAGTATTTGGCGCCAACTCTCAAAAATTTGTTGATTTTGATTTCTCTTGATCAAATTTCCATACACAAAATCTAAAACACTTGCAAATACCTTTTACACTAAGAACGTTTGTAATAATATATAGAAAAAAAATACTTGTAAATTGTTTACAGTGTCATATAGGTCTCACTGCGGGGTATTTGTATAAATTCGGTTTTAACTGCATTTCAAAAATTGTTAGCCAGCAGAACAAGGTGACTACACGAGATTTTAATACATAATAACCAAATAATAATGATAATTATTATAATTATTATTATTATTATTATTATTATTATTATTATTATTATTATTATTATTATTATTATTACTATAATAATAATAATAATAATAATAATAATGCCAGGAAAATAATGTAATTAATTCATCACGTTTTTAGTGTTGAAAATTGATTCCATCCTGAAAACTACAGCAATACTCGTTCAGTACGAACACGAATATAGCGAATTTACAGAAATAGCGAAGTCGTCTTGGATCCCCAGCTATATGAATTCAATGAATTTCTTATACCGTTATAACGAATAACAGATCAAGCGAAGTAATATCATAGGTCCCAGTGACTTCGTTATAACCGAGTTTTGCTGTATACGCATATTTTCGCCCCGGCTTTGATAGCATGGCAGTCATGATGCAATACCCATGTTCCCCCGAGTTGCAAATAAAGTGCGCACAAACAACCCCACAAGTTTTCCGCTAAGCAATTTTATAAATGACAATCTAATTAAAATTAGATGTTAGATCTGCTCGCATACTTGCTACACTAATAACTTTCTTTCTGCATACCATAACTTTTACGCTGACTTATTCTGACTGACTTTTAGCAGTTTAGTAGTTTAATAAAACTTAAAATGTTTATATAAATTATTCCTTTCATTTGGTATAGTATTTAATTAGTCCTAAGACATTACACATAATCACATCAAGATTCAGACCGAAATTTAACAATAAAACATGTACGAGGTTACGTACAATATCATGCACTCTGTATTATTACTATTTGATTCATACAGACTTGAAGTCATTTGCATAGAATAAAACGTGAAACAACGCAAGTTTGCCTTTGTGACGTAACTGACGTCATAATGAAAATGTGCACACAACAAGCCCTCGAATCGTCGAAATTGTGTACCAAAATTGATGAAAAAAGCAAACCCGTGACCTACCTTAAAATAAAGAATTAAAGTTACATACAAACATTGTAAGAAAAAAGTCGTCAGATTGGGCTAATTAATAAATAAGGTAATAAACCCGAATATACACCTACTCTAATTAATAAAGGACATAAGTGTTTATTAACTAGTATGTGCGTACTACGTACACAAAATGCTATGGATAACATTCAGAAAATGAACCTGAGTCATCAACATAATTAATTATTTTATTGAAGTTTTAAACATGAAAAAAGGGTGGGAAAATTGCTTTAGATTTTGCTTCAGTTCCTCCTATATAATTCGTCCAGATCATTACTCCTCCCATATAATTCATATAGGCTGTACTAATCAATGTAACAAATGTATAAATAAGATCAAAATAGGTTGGAAATGTACATTCCTCTTTGGAAATCTCATCTGCTAGCGAAATCAACTGAGAAAATTGATAAGCAATGACAATGTCTCTGAGTTGTCTGATTTTGACATTGGGTAAGTAAGTAAGTAATCTCTCTCTCTCTCTCTCTCTCTCTCTCTCTCTCTCTCTCTCTCTCTCTCTCTCTCTCTCTCTCTCTCTCTCTCTCTCTCTGATAAATACAAGACACATTGCATATTTTTAAAAGAGTTTAGTTGTATTTTTTTCCTGGTCATTTTGCATTTTTTTTTCTTTTAATCTTGAAGGAAGTCAGACATTTTGACATGTAACCAATCTTTTTCACACTTTGAGGAAAAAAAGTGTTAAGTGGTTTAAAAATGCATAAAAGCTACAAAATTCGGTGATTTTTATTGTAATGTGCATTTAATTAATAAAAAAATTGCATTTCAGCGTTTGGAACAAATATATTGCTAATAAGTGGAGATGATCATGATATTGCAACAGCGGCTTGTATTGGTTTGAGTCCACAGAGGGCTTACACTGCAGCGATTCCTCGCAAGTGTGGCGGTGGAGAGTCCTGCAACGCAATCTGCCAATCACTCGCTAGCTTAGATGACTATAATGATGCCTTCAACAAGTGAGTAAGGGAAATTGGCAATTATTTGAGATAAATATATATATTTCAGTTGAAGTTCTACTGTGTTTAAAATAGGTGATAGTGATATAAATTAATTATTTACAACCGACAGAGTTTTAAGTAGTATCTCATAGTAAATGCATGATGTCTGTCAGATAAAAAGTCAAGCGAAAATAGAGAAAAGAAGAATCATATTATTTTCCAAACGTTTTGGTAACATTCATATGACAGTTGTATTCATGATATGTTTTTGAATCAGCATTTTTTTTTTTAAATTAACATCATCTTTACTTCAGAATATTTGAAAACGTAGATTGTAATTCTTAGACATAACTACATCATATTTCATATGTTTTAAGTATGTATAAATTGTAAATGTTCAATAATAATTTGTACAGAAAACCTCAATGCATTGATGCGTTGCATATTTACGCCAAACGAGGCCCCAAGAATACCCCCAATACCAAATGGGTCAACACCTGGAGATACGGAAGTTTTAGTTGTGCTGCTACCCATTGCGGTCCAAACTTTTGCTGTTGTTCCCAGTAAAATATGAAAGATGTATTGACTGAGTAAAATTAAATTTGCAAGTGCTGAACAGTTTCTTTCATTTCCTGCTACTCAGATTTACGCCAAGGGTTATATACCATAAAAAAAGTTTTAAAGATCCTGTTCATATTCATAAGTGACCTGGTAATTATGCTATTAGTAACTATAAAACATACTCTGTGGTTTCTCATTAATATACTTCCAACACACATTTTATTCATTTTGATGAAATCACAGTATGGATTTATGAAATGACAGTCCATATTACTTTAAAAGAGGAATTTTTGTTTCACGAGGGGGGATGCTTTAAAAATATTTTTCGCTTTCCGTTGTTTCATAAAGAGAAAAACTCTAGTTTACCAAAATTATAGAATTTCCCCAATTTGTTTTCAAAAAAGTAATATTTCATGAAAATCCATACAAATACATGTATTTAAAAAAATCAGAAAATATCATTAGAATATGTTAACTTTTGAAAATGGATTTGGTGTTAGGCTGGAGAACAATACTATCCCCAGAACTTTGTACCCTTAACATAACACGATCCCCACAGTCTATTTATTTTGTTTTCAGGTCATGGGCCTACCCTTCTTGACAGGTTTCTTTTACTCTCGCCTTAAAGACGTAAGACACTCAAAACAAATTTACTCATAATGTTTATTCTTTTTAGAAAAACGGATTGCTTCTGTACGTGGGTCTGTTTTTTTTTTTTATTTTGAGTTTCAAGAAACGATATCAGCAAATTCATGTCAATAGATGTTTTTCTTCAAGTGCTTTTGTTTTCTTGCTCATTGATATATCTACAAATATCATTTTCTATTGATTCCAAACACGATTCAGACATCAGCACGATGAATTACAGAACAAGGAATCACAGGTCAAGGAATGGAAACTGTCCTTTCAATTTATTTGATGATACAACTTAAGTTAAACAAAGTCAAGAAGTCTACCAATTTGTTTATTAGTAATACATAATTCTTCAAACGACACAAAGTACTTCTTCAGAAACTGCTTCATGATAATTTTGAAGAGATCCAGAATTTCTATTCTTGTAAATAATATTATGAATTTTGGTTAACATAATATTGGTTGAAACATAAAATAAGTCCTTACATAGTAATACATGTAAGAGCTATTTCATGTTTTTGATTTTCTTTACTTTACCACTGCCCATTAGGCCACAAAGACGTTGTCTCTTGAGTCTACACACAAACCCCAAGGAAGGTCTAGTTTAAGTCGTACGTAAAGGAGAAATTGACCGCCCTGATCTAGTATGTGGATACAGTTGTTGTAACAGTCTGCTATTAGGATCTGACTCTGGCTGTCTGTTGTGATCCTGTATGGATCGAAGGATTTTTTGGATGCAGAGTAACAACCAGAATATCTAAAGAATGAATCGTTTAAATGTCCAAATTTGGCCCCTCGATAATTTAAAAAAAATATAATTAAAGATTTTCTCCATATCTTGGCCTCAACTTTTCCATCAAACATTGTAGTTTATTGATTTAAATTTCAATTTTTAATTCCATGCACTGTAATTAGGTATTTATCTGATTGATATAGCAGGGGTACGTTGTTTACATCAATTTCTCATAGACTTTAGGCCACACCCCCATTTTGCAAGCCACTTTTTTATATGAGCGCATCGATGTTTCAAATTGCCGTAAATACGGTCACTGTAAAGAGATTAACTAGTCATTTACATCCGTGAAAGAAATTGAAACAGTCTTGCGCTCATACCTTTTTTTCCAAAAAGGTGCAAAATCACGGATACTTGTCTCTATAGTAAAGGCACCTTGTTTACAAATTTCAACCTGCCTTTGACCTCATGAATAACAAAGCACTGAACACGTGACTCAAATCTATTCACTTTCGCGCTTTCATCACACCTATGCGACATCGTGTACAGGTGTCAGTGAGCTATCGATGGTCGAATCATTTTCGGATGGCTAATTGAAAATTCTGGGTGAAATTCTTAATTAAATACATGTTAAGATTTTTGAATTGTTATTAAATGCTATTTCAGTCGATTTTGTTTGATTTATTTATCTATCACTAAATGCATTTGTTCCTAAATATACATCGGCGCTATATGTTTATTGACTCTTGAAAGATAGAAAAAGTTTTTATTTCAGTTAAAATTTTCATTAATATCATAATGTCATTTGAAAAAAAAATGATTCATCATATCTTTAGAAAATAAACTGTTTGTTACATGTGCACACATACATATTTCCATATGAGAAACATGAATGTGGAGAAATTGAAATACGGAGCTCTAAAAAGCCCTAAATAAACTTTTTACATCTGCACAAAAACTCAGTTTTTTCAGATCATGTAAAAAATTCCATGTTTGCAGGTATTTTAAAGCATGATGCTTAAAAGCAAGAAAATGCTCTTGTATGCATCGCCCTTTCACACGTCCGATCAACGTATTTAGTGAAAAAATAAAAAGGAAAAGGGCATTAAAGTATTTTGAAGTGAATTATCGTTTATCTTATTAGGGAGAGAGTTTGTTAAAATCAAAAAGTACACGAGTGAATTTCAACAATTATTGAATTCATATATGAAGAAGATCATATTAACTTGTCTGGCAAGAATAAACAGAATTTAGTTCAAAGCAATATTAATGTAATCTCGACTGTAAAAAATACTCGACGTTTTATTATCCACCAGAAATGATACTGACATTTTTAATTTTCACTTTCTTAACGATTTATTTTAGTAAACAAAGTGTAGGTGTTTTTTATCATATTTCAACTGCCTACATGTTTTTGTTGTAGTACTCGAATTTTAGAATTATATTTATGCTTTAAAATAAATTCCTTAAACAGATGAATTATTTTTTTTAAAAAATGATTTCTTTTACACATGAAAAATAGTGTATCCTGTGTTATACGCTCTGTTTACAGATTCCATTGTGATAAACGAATTTTTAAGTTTAGTAGAAAAAAAACCTGCCATATAATTTAACAAAGAATCTATGCTTATATTTTGTCCGTCCCTAGCAAGAAATAAGAGGAATTTTACGTGTCAGTTAAATTCATAAAACTCTGTCCATCTCGAACACATACTAATGTATTCCCACAAATCGCAAACTTGATAGACGCTCCGCCTTCTCATTCAAATAATACAATGACCTACATAGCTGTAATGTCTAAGCCGGGTTTTTACAGTGAAGTATACGATTTTATTTAATCAATGTCATATATATTTTGAAGGTCTCTTTCCCAAAAAATCTTTTATGAGTATCCATACAGACTCTGGTTGAGGATTTCAGCTATAATATGACAATGTTATGATTTGAAAAGGTAAATTCTGCATTTGAAAAGGGGCGAGAAAGTAGAGTTATGAAGATTCATTCTTTGAGATTCACAGCCCTATTGATCACAACTACGGTACTTGCTCCATTGTCAGCCACACTGATATCCAGATCCCTGTTCTAACTGATGTATATAATGAAACCTAGTGAAAAAGAGTTTTCCTTTTCCATCAAATTGAATTAATTGTTTTTCTATGAAGATATCAGAGTAATGGACAACTTTTGATTGTTTATGGTAATCACTAATCATGTAAACGAGGAGGTTACCAGTAGAGTTTCCACATTTGAAATTCTTTCGATTCCTTTCTCCGTTGATTTTCCACTACGTTTAGTTTTTGATTCAGGGTCAGCATAGAGTAGATTGCCACTTCTTGTTGCAGCAATGTCACCAGGAAAGTCCCCTAGCTCAGTTTTAAATGACTGTAATATCTCCCACCTAAGTTGAAAAGTTTCATGATTTTGTCTTCTCCACATGTCCAAATGTTTTTATCGCCGAGACATGTTACTCTATTCATTCCATACCCAGTGTCTTTAGTGGTGATGAGTTCTGGTCTGGCAAGCAAAGGTTTGACTGTTAAAGAGCCAGACATGAGATTAATTTGTTATATCTGCTCTCTTGGTTTTTTTGAAATATATCTTTCTTTCCTTTAATAAAGTAATTGCTGCATCGAATCAGTCGCACATGCATTTTGTCTTTTCTGTAATAAAACAGTATATGCAGGTAAAAAAAAAGACAGGAAAGTCATATGCATATTAACAAAAAAACTGTTTTTATGTTTGTTAATGAATATTTGAGAAAGTCACACAAGGACGATAGTATTCTGTAATTCTGATAAATCCTAAATTGCTACGTTTGAATCGGCGATTTAATTCACTGATTCACTATAAATCCATGCGGTGTTTACATTTATATTTCCCCCTACTGTTCCAAACATCGAAGATGCTGCCTAAAACAGTATAATTAATAATTAATGAAAAATAAAGTCATTTTATTTGATAGAAAAAGAGTTCCAATATGGATCAATGAATATGAATATATTGAAACTTTCAAATGTTGACATTCTCATCTTTAAAATCAAGATGGCTTCCCTGACTATTTCCAATTGTGAATTATGTATTTATGTGCATATTACTTTTTTTTTTGCACTTTTTATTGAAAATGACTGACTTCATGTCATGGGATTTAACTAATCGTCTGGCTTTGTAGAAAATTAATACCCGTGAAAACACTTCAATTGTTAAAATACATGTATGTTGACAAATTAACATTTAAAACACTCTTTGACAAAATAATTCGTCAAAATCAAATGACATTTTTTTAACACTTGCATTGTAATTCATAAATTCCATTTATTTATTTTCATCTTCATAGCTTCGAATCCATATGCAGGCACGTAGCAACAGGGGTCCAAGGGGGGAGGCTGCACCTTAACTTTTTTTTCCCAACATAACTTGCACTGTTGAAAATGTTCATTGATAGTCTGGGTGCCCCCACCCCCAGTTTTTACTGCGGTAAAGTGATATAAGTGAAGCGTAGTATTTTAAATTCCTTTAAAATTATTTTTACAGAGAACTTCTTTTTATAAAAAAAAAATCATCCCTTTTAAATTATCTCCACCCTATGGTCAATATAGAGATATACTTCATAATACAGAACATTTTATATTGTACACGAAGACTTATGTAGGTCTACATCCTTAAAACTCTCTACCCAGATTAAAATTGTTTTAATATGTAGAGCAAGTATATGTATGGGAGTCCCCATGATTGTAGTTCCCAAAGAATAAAAATATCTCCAGATGTGAAGCCTTCAAATACCGGTATATATTTAAAAGTTCATGGTCAATAAAATACAAATATCTTAAGCAATATTTATATACAATATGTAATTAAATAATTCTAAGTAGAGTTAACCATATTAATTAGTTCCACTAATACTATTCAAAGGGTTGATTTTTTATTTGTGGAAGAAAAATGTCTAATGATTAATTTCTTGTGAAAATTAATGTTATAAAAATCAATCAATCTGAATAAAATAAATTTGTGTTTGTCTACACTCTTACAAAATTTTCCTGTAAATTATTTTTGATTTCATGGAACTGAGGGAAAAGAGCAAAAATAGAGTGTGATGTATTATAATTCTCTAGAACCACAAGGCTAGAAATGACGAAAACTGACCAACCATATACATATATACTATGTTGAACCTTTTTAACATGCCAAATTTCTTTCAACATGTCAAAAACTTTATTACAATAACAAAACCATCACCATCATTTTTATTTTATTTTTACTTTATTATGATGAATATCAAACATACAATATACATAGGAGTAATTTTGATGAATAATCATATCTCTCCATATCCTTCCATCAATCGACAACAGAAGGTGCAAATACCCATACCGATATAGAAAGAAAAAATGTCTACATATGTTAAAACCTCCATACTTAAACATCCTACTCACTATAATTTACGGTTAAAATTCAACTCATTATCTAAGCATCAACCTCGTATTCTGTAAACCAACTATTATTCGCGTCATCTTTTATTTGCAAAGCGTCAGTTTCAAATCAATGCGCGACGATTAATTTCAACGAGTGATAAAACATTCTTCTACAAATATTAAGCAAAATAATTGGTTTCCGTCGATTTAAATTCGCCATATGAAGTAGGTTGCGGAACATGCGGATATTTCTCGCACGCGAATAACACTTGGCTTACAGTAATCTTCTTTGACAGAGTGTTGTAACTGATTTGATTTTAAACATGTAATTGCTTAATGGTAACTAAAACTGCAAGTGATCACCACAGGTATGTTACAAATTCTTAATATATCAATCCTCAGACTGATCAATACACACGAATGATAAAGGGTATAAATCTATTTAAGGAATGACTCTAATTCTTGGCCAAATTATCGAGTATAATATGGTTTGGGTCAGTTTACGCTTTATAATCCGCGAAGCGGATTATAAAAAAGCGGATTATACTCGATAATTTGGCCAAGAATTAGAGTCATTCCTTATAATTTAATTTTAAAATAATTAAACAACTGGGGGTGTAAAATTGTGTTGTTTTTATGAGTTCAAATTTACCGCGCAATAATACAACCGTAGTAACTGAAGTGATGGGAAGCGAGGGGAGGTAATTACTGATACACAGATCTAGCAGCAGCCATGATGCTTGTTTACACGAGGTAAGATCGAGCTACTGTTTGAAAATGAAGGTACATTCATTAAATCTGGAATTTTCCATGAATTCCAAGGACTGGAAATGAGGGGATTGATGGATACAGATGATTCAGCTGGTTGTCAAGGGGGTGTGTCCCCATACCAAACCAGATTATACAAAATGTAATGCGTTCCTTTTTGGAAATCAACCAATGAGAGGCAAGAATACAAGCAAAATTAAATTATATAAAAATATAATGATAGTGAAACAACAATGATAATACCATCACGCAATGTAATTCCACTGGAAAAGTTTGTATTAGATTTGTATTACCGTACCATTGCTGGATTCCTAAACTTCATAAAGATCCTTACCAACAAAGATACATAGCGAGTTTCCTGTCTCTTTCTTTAACCCTCACTCAAATATTAAGAGCAGTGAAGGAGAAACTTCAGGAGAACTGTACAACAGTACATTCAAAAACTATTTTGTTAAAAAGCATTCTGACTGTACAAACAAGTAATCTGAAGTTGTTAATAAACTATGCCTGAGTTTCAGATTGACAATATTTATTTAGTTTTTTAGGAGATCAGGGCATCCAACAATATATTGAAGATCCCATGAGTACCAATTGCACACCTTTAATAGCACACCTATGTTTGTATTTATATGAAGGAAATATATATATATATATATATATATATATATATATATATATATATATATATATATATATATATATATATATATATATATATATATATATATATATATATATATAAACTATACTACATGAGATAAAAACACTTGTTATGGCCTTCAACTCAGCATATGAATATTTCGAATATATATAACATATATTTATATATAATCGACATATTATCAATTACAAGTAGTTACTTTCGTTCATATTTCGTCTCGAAATAGATTCCACACATTCTGACAAATATATTTCATACGTTAATATTTAACTAGAAAAAGAAGTTAATGGTTATCATACAAACAAATGATGATAAACATGATGACATTCAATCGTCAACTTTAAATACTTATGACCTTGTCAGCACAACTAACCTATCACTGAGTAAAACGTTGACTAACGTTTTTAGTACTCGCTGTTAGGCCATTATTCATATACTAAATAGTCTACGATTTTTTCGAGTATTTTTTTTCGATGAAGACAATGAGAATGCGGCGGGTGTGACTGGTCGGCAGATGATGATCACTCCTCAACTGCACCCAACCCCACCACTACATTTTGAGGTCCGAGTTTGCTCTGCCTCTGATTAATAAAGTTTTTATTTGACTTTCCAGATTATATTTGTTATCTTCATGTTGCATTCACACAATGTTTATTGAAATGTTCATGTGATCATCACTACACTTATTGGTGGTTAAAACAATCATGTTAATACACAGTTACTGCATGGTTATATTTTATTTTTACACGTATTTGATTTTCTTCACTTTACAACTCATATTCTCGGCCACAAAGAGGTTGTCTCTGGTGTCTACACATAAAGACCACGGATGCTCTAGATCACAGTTATCAATGAAACGGAGGAACTGTCCGTCCGGATCTATGATGTGGACACTTTTGTTATAATAGTCTGCGATGAGGATCTGACTCTGGCTGTCTGTTGTTATTCCATGTGGATAGAATTCTTCCTCCTTGGTAGTAGAGGGATGACCAGTGTATTTAAATCGGGGTGTTCCTGCCTGATTAACCACCACTACAGCTTGAGCTTCACAATCGGCCACACAGATATCTAGGTTTCTGTTTTCACACATGTATTTAAAGTACCCAGATGAATACAGAGGTTTGCCTTCACTATCAAACTGAATGGTTTGTTTCTCTGTGGAGCCAGAGTAACGGACAACTTTTGATTGTTTATCTTCATCACTGTCCATAGTAACCAGGAGGTCACCAGAGGAGGTACTACAGACATGGTAAGGTCTCCATCCTTGCAGTTTGATCACCTTTTTTATGTGTTCATTCTTCACTCTGTTTACAGTTCTTCTATCAGAGTCGGTATAAACTAGATTTCCACTCCTTGTCACTGCTATGTCACATGGAATTTTCCCTGACTTCGTTTGGATTGACTTCAGTAGTTCACCCTGGAGGTTAAAGAGTTTCATAATATTTTCTTTCCCGCATGTCCAAATTTCTTCATCACTGAGCATGGTAACGCTGCACATTTGGCCATAATCGGTGTTTATGGTGGTGATGAGCTCTGGTTCATCAAGCAGTGGTTTGACTGGAGGACAGGATACAGCTTCTGGTGTCTTCATTGTGTAGCCATGTTCTTCTGTTGTAATGGATAATGCTGACAGAGAACCAAACATTTGATGGAGCTGTTCTGTTTTAATCTGATGGGGCGAGAAACTTGGTAATGTAACATTGACCTTAGGGGGTAACCTTCTGAATTCAGCATTCCTTGATTTGTATGCGGAGGTTAGGGAAACATCATTGGTTTCCAGTATTTTCCTTAAATCAAGTATGCTCTGTTTAACATCAAAAGCAATCCGTTCGATTTCTTTTTCATGTTTATGTAGAGCAGCCACGTGTTTAGTTTTCATCTCATCAATTTCAGATTTCTGTTTGTTGACAATGATGTTAATTTCTCTGTGCCAGTCTTCTCCTTGTTTGGTGACAGCTGTTGTAAGTTGTTTGTAGTGTTTTTCCAAGTTGACTTTTTCAGACTTTAAATGTAACTTAATTTCTTCATATTTTGGACAGATGTCTTTCTCTAGCTCTTTAAGACTTTCTTGCAAATCATTTATTTTTAATCTAAGTAGCTGCACAATATCAGATAAATCATGTCTTTTATGTTTCCCAGAGGAGATGCAGGTAGAACAGACAGGAATGTCACATTTCTCACAGTAAAGTTCACAGTGTTTCTGGTTGTGGTTTGGACATTTAGGGTATTTAGGTGTAGACGTTTTAAGTTTGTATGGTACAACATGGTGTCTTTTTGATGAATCAGAGAGATGTTTTCCAACACACAGTAGACAAAGATTTACATGACAAAGTTCACAATGACTCTGTAATGCAGCTGTTTGACACAGGTCACAGAGGGGGATATTCTGGCTATTGTAACGGGGGTCCATCATATGTGTCTCAGTAACTTAATGCAGGTGGTCCTACAATATTGTATATCAATTATAATTCTTGATACAAAGAGTTAAATAATAAAGTTAATTAAATTGAATTAAATAAGGTGAAACTGTGTCTTTGATATGTAGTTAGATTAGATACATGCATAGCGACTTCTCCTTAAGGCGTCACTAATTACACATTTATAAATCATGAGAAATATTAAAAGAATGAACATAAAACTATAACAAATAACACGAAGTTTTACAAAGTTATAGTGTTTTACCATCTTCTGGTGTATAATTGTTAGATTTTGACGTACTTTCAGGTCACAATCATAATTTAAATACACTGTATACCGGCATATAATTGAGGGTTTTGATGTATTTAAGCTTGATATACAATACTTGTACTTTAGAGTTAAAAATCCAATATCCTAATCCATCTAAACATTTTGTAGAAATGGTTTCCTTTTCAATTGTTGAAATTAACTTAGCTCAAATTTTATTTTCAATAATATATTTGCAAATAAAATAAAATTGTTTGTTATTATTGTAAGTAACAGTGTATTTGAAATATTGCATAAAACGTTGACGATCTTATCAATACATTTAATAATAGAGATACACTTGTCTTATTTTGTAAAGGTTCATTTAAGATCGATTCACACGAGGGCCGTTCAAAAATTACGCGGACTTGTTGCACAGAAAAAATATTTGACGACATAATCGGGCAAAATGTCACACATAAAATAAAAGAATCTTTACTTATATGGTCTTCCAAATTTCATATCAAAATGTTGTAAATTGGTATCAATTTTGAGTAATTTTTCAGGACATATCATTAAGTCATGGAGCAGCAAAATCTTTGACGTCACAGGCATTATAAAAAATATTTCATTGAGCTTCATTTTCTGAACATTTTCCCAAGAGCACCTGTACAGTTTGAGCTACCTTATCTACTCAACATCCAAACACCATTTCTTGTGAAGCTTTAAATCTATTAAACAAGTGATCGATATTCTTTTTTTGTTTTAAAACCAAAAACTGCAGGTATTTATGAGATATAGTGTAATATTGATATCTCTTAATCACGTTCTTTTCAGTCCGGATAAAGTTTTCGTCGATAATCTTCTTCCTGTCCTCCCGTATAGCCTTTTTACAGAAGTCTAACCGTCTAAAATTTCAATTTGCTATTTGTAGGTAAATGTCACGAAAACCCTAGTTTACTACAAGTTTTATCATGCATATTTTGGATCTATGTTGGCGATGTCTCAAGCATTACAAATAATTTAACAAAAGTGTGGTGCGCCGTCAATTCAGGAGACGCCATTTTTACAGTCGTTTTCACAGGAATCACATCAGAGAAAAATCATTATATTTCTGTAAGTTCTTCAAATATAACTTGTGAATCTTAATACATAATAATGGAACAATTTAAAGATACATTTGAGAAAATTGTCGAAAAAATTGTAGAAAAATATCGCGAATTATAAAAAATTGATGAGTTAAATTTTGGATTCCGCATGCTTTTGCTTCAAATTTTTTGTCGTGTTCAGTACCCCTAACGAAAAAATACTATAGTAAACTATAGTTAACTATAGTTTACTATACTTAACTATAGTACCAAAGTTAAGCAAATTGTTAAAACTTTGGAACTTTGATTTACTATAGTGAAAACTTTGGAACTTTGATTTACTATAGTAAAAACTTTGGAACTTTGATTTACTATAGTGAAAACTTTGGAACTTTAATTTACTATGGTAAAAACTTTGGAACTTTGATTAACTTTGATTAAGAACTATAAAACCCGTGGAATTATGGTTTTGATTCTCATTTTGTACATTTTATGAAATGTCAAGAATAAGATTTATTATAGCCTCGATGAACGATTAAAAAACCCGAATCGTCCCCAAAAAGAACAAAGTACAAGAAATGAATTTTAATGAATAAATTGTCCTTGCATCGATAAAAAAGCAATATTTATCATTATTTATAGAGAAAAAAATACTATTAGATTAAAAAAACCGTCATTTAGAATCAAAATATTTGCTTTTTAAACACCAGTCAACATGTTTTTCTACCGTTCAACTTAAATAATGCATTTAAATAAATTACTTTGCATATTTAAATTGAGATGAACAACGAAAATCAACCCAAACAAACCAAAATCATCACCCTTAAAACAGATTAATAATTTTGAAAACTTATTAAAAACATACAAAAACTTTAATACTTTGATATAAACTTTGGAACTTTGATTTATAATGGGAAGAACTTTGGAACTTTGAATAACTAAGGTATAAACTTTGGAACTTTGATTTACTATAGTATAAAGTTTGGAACTTTGATTTACTATGGTCAAAACTTCGGAACTTTGATTTACTATAGTAATAACTTTGGAACTTTGATTTACTATGGTGAAAACTTTGGAACTTTGATTTACTTTAGTGAAAACTTTGGAACTTTGATTTACTATAGTAAAAACTTTGGAACTTTGATTTACTTTGGAAAACTTTGGAACTTTGATTTACTATAGTGAAAACTTTGGAACTTTGATTTACTATAGTTAACTATAGTTTACTATAGTTAACTATAGTTTACTATAGTATTTTTTTGTTAGGGACCTTTCCATCAGCAATATCAACATACCGATAATTTTAGTAGAATTTTTTAAATATACAGAAACTTTGCAAAAAATTTATTGGAATCTTTAAGATACATATTTCTGTGAAAGAACTACGAACGATAGTATTGTTCTCCCGCCTACCTCTAAGTCATTCTCAAAAGTTTACATATTCGAATGATTTTCAAAAATTTTAAAGATATTTATATGAATTTTCATAAAATGTTACTTATTTGGGATACCAAAGAGAGATAACTCTATAATTTTGGTAAAACTTGTGTTTTTCACTATAGAAATCAACGGAAAACGGAAAATATTTTTAAAACATTTTCCGGTGTGTTCCCCGAACGTCTAAAACCTATATAAACAGTATAATTATCACACTCAATTAAGAGGCCCTCTGAGGGGCACAGGTAGCGTTTACCTGACGTGTGTTACCTGTATCTTAAACTGTATGAATAAACTACCTGCATTTATATGACTGTGTCAAAGACTTGTAAGTTATATAGGAAAAAACTTAGCGATAAGTCCTCTAAAATAAATTAAATGTTGTTCAATTTTTTATATATTTTTACTCAAATGTTCAAAGTATTTACTGGGTATTTTAGTCAATCTATATTAATCAATGTTTCAAAAATCTTACCAATAATACTTATAAATTGAATTAAATGTTTATCAAATGTTAAAAATATTTTTCTACTCAAATTTTTAAAGTATTTATTTTAATTTTGTAGTATAAAACTATCTTCATTTAAATTAGAAAAAAGTTTATTTTATTGTGCTAATTCGTCTTGACATTGTAGATATATTCTATTTAATCTTTTTTTTTAATACATCCGTTGAATTCTTTTATTTTTTTATGGTACTTAAATAATTTTTAATGTCCGTTTTTAGCTAAAGTTTTAAGCATTTACTCTGAATACATTTAAAGTAATAGCATTTTATCATTTTTAAAATTGTTTTAAGTCTCCATAATAAAACTTAAATCTTAAGATTATTCTTTTTTTATGTATTTGTGAAAATGTACAAAGAAGCATACATGTAGCATTCAATAATTTGAAAACAAATCACTTTACTGTGAATTTTGAATATAATTTCAACTAACAACATAGATTATGAATAATTGGTAATGAGGCTGGTTAGATCAGCTAGTTTACATTGAAAGTTAGATAATACTGTTTGTTTTTTTAACAGAAAATATCTTATATTCAGAGCTCGAAAAATCATGACTCTCATTCAGCTAACGCATGCGCCCCTTTGGACGATATCATATTATTACAATTTTTATCTCAGACATTAATTAACAGCAAAAGAAATTGTTTTGTGCATTTATAGACTTTAAACAAGCGTTTGATACAGTCTGGCGTGAGGGACTTTCGTGCAAACTTCTTAAAAGTGGGGTCAATGGTAAATGTTTTACTTTTATTAAAAATATGTATAGTGGTATCAAATCTAAAATACAAATGAATGGTCTGTCAACTGAAAAAAGTGCTAATAAATGTATAGAACGGAAGTGATATAAACTCTGCTTACCATATTAATATATTATAAATGATATGAAAAGCATATCAAATAGTACGTAAATTGTGATTTTTATGAAGAGTGCTCAAAGTGTTTAAATCTAAAAATTAAATATTTGTAAATAATAAACTTGTCATCACTTTACATACATTGTGTCATAGTGCTTGTAATGAAATGTACTGAAATAAAAATAAAAATATTCATATGAAAAAAAACACTTGATTGGTGTCTTGAAATATAGTTTTTAATCAAATAAATTTTGGTTTGGTACATATTATATACATCAAATTTTATCTGAAAAATAAATATATTTCATTCAGAATATTAAATCAAGATAACACAGGTAAACGCTACCTGTGTCCCTCAGATGGCCTCTTAATTGATTGTGATAATTATACTGTTTATATAGGTTTTAGACGTTGGGGAATAAACCTTAAAATTTCCTTTTAACAGGTAATATGGACTGTCATTTTACAAATTTATGCCAAAGCTTTTGTGTTTCACGGGGGGCATATTTTTAAAGACAATAAACAAAAAAATGCTGATTTTTCACCAAATTTAAAGCGATATACAGCTAAATAATTGTATTTCATTAATTAATATATGTTTTATTTATTTGCGAATAACATAAGAAAAGATGTTATATACATTTTATCATATTTAAGACTATTTCAAAATATGGTGATTCTTGAAAGTTCGATTTCACTAGAAAATATCGTCTACCCCCCTTTTTCAAGAGCCGGAATTAACGATAATTTACTATCTAGCTCTGGAATTAAAATGCTTAATCAATTACCATAGAACTGTTCTTTGTATTAAACAAAGATTTAATGGCCACATTGCCATTGATATTGAATTTAATGGGTGCAAAATGTAGCCGGGAATCAAGAGTTAGAGTTCGTAGTTCTTTTATAACTATATGAAGTCTGTAAGAGTAAATAAAAGCACAGTCCGCGTAATTTTTGAAAGGCCCTCTTATAGAGTATTTTCCTATATAACGGAATGATTAATTGGCTTAAAAAAACTCTGGTATACCTGTCGCTATTGACTCCAAATACTAACATTTCAATAAATTATTGATTTCAAAAATGTTATGTCCTAAATTTAATCATTTTTTTTGTCTTTCATAGCTTTAAAACATTCAAACTTTTGAGGGAAAAATTATTTACATCAGACCAATATTATATTACGCTTCAAACGTCTAAACGAAATTAATATTGAATATACAAATGTTTTCCTAAAGTATTTTTAAATTTTGCATAAGCCAAGCAATTTTTGACATTCAATGGACAGTATAAATCCGTTTAATTTATTTTTCATACAATCATAATAATATAACTTTATGAGAGAAGAAGAAAACTCACAATATTATGAACAACGTTTACTCAACTTTGAATATAAACATTCAAGAATGCTTCAAGTTATAGAAAAAATGTTAATAACAGAAAGATAGTCCTGAATAAGAAACATTTACAGTTTTATTCCACAAATATTCATTAAGGTGCATGGCTATTTTCAGCATTAAATTTTCTTATAGAATATTTATAATGCAATTTAAAAAAAAAAAAAAAGGCGGATGAAATGAGGCTAGGAATTTTGCAAACTTGGAGTCTTAATTAAATCAAGAAATATGTATTTAAAAAATAAAATTCGAAATATATTCTTACCTGTTTATTCAATTTTCTCTATCAAGATACTAGTAAGAACATATCTAGCCCCCTTTTGATTTTTGTTTCGACTATCTCTCAGGTCATGTTATTCAAATTTAAATACCTGTATACCAAAGCTATCTTCCATGTAGAAATAATTAACAAAATTATTATTTTAGTTATGTCTGCCACGACAACGCATATTAGCTGTTGTTTCACATTATTTCTTTAAACAATAGTTTCGAGAAACCTTATACGTGTACCACTCAGTTTAAACGTTATGTTTTGACAAACAAATGTCAGTTTGTTATACCTTGGCACTCCATAGATTTTTGACTGCAAAAGTTTATTACGCAGTTACATAATGTTTTGTGTATTTGTTATAAAAAGGAATAAATAGATTTTAAAAAGTTCCTTTAAGTTAGCAGTATTCATTTACAGAAATCATTAAAAGCATACGTTTTAAATATATTAATTTACTGTATTATTTGGATAAAAGGTTTTTTATCAGGCGGATTTAATTTAAGGTTATCTTTAATGGCCGCCATGTTGTAGTGAAACGGGAGAGGAAAATGCAGGAGAGCAAAACGAGATTCGAACCCTGTCCACCTGATTTTCCAGTCAAGTCCTCTACCGACTGAGCTATCTGGTCACAAGCAATCAAACCAAACTGACCGCCACATTCTTCCATCCTTAAAGGTCTTTGGCCCTCAAAATACCCCTGTCCAAGCTCATAATTGCAGTCCTCTCACGAGGCACTTCCAAGGCATGCCTAGGCACTAAATGTGACAGAAAAGGCAAAAATGCGGCAGACCAGACCGGAATTGGACCCCCCCCAAAATCTTCACTCAGGTAGCCTGAGCTATCTTGCCACCGGCGATAGAACCTGACTGATGACCGCCACAGTCGTTTAAACACTACCAGATGTTTTTCATTAGCCAACCAACTCAATTAATTATACTGGGCACTGAGATGAATATACCACAGTGACTGCTTTTCTTATGGGTCTTCGATTGAAGATTTTACCCCATATATTTCTGGCATGCATGGTTAAAAATGATATTTTATGAATGATTCTAATATTATTGTCATACATGTAAAGTCAATTACTCTTTATTATAATAAAAATATGTTTTGCCTTTTTTTTACCGCATGTTAGATTTAAAGGTACATGGACAAATATTTGAAGTTAATATTTTCTGCATAATATTATGACTTAGATATTCAAATAGCATTTCACACAAAAAATATGAGAATTTTTAGTTCATCTTAAAGTAACTGAAACTTCAAATGTTTGGATGGGTTTGATTGACACATCATTCCAGTCTCTTTAATTTTACTTTTATTCTTAATACTTCAGAAAAGTGGCAATCATGTTGTGTATTAATGAAAAATATTAAAATTTGAAGTCTCAATAACTTTTAGATGAAATAAAATCGTTAATATATCTTTGTGTGAAATGCTATTTAAATATATAAGTATTATACAGAAAATATTAATTTCAAATCTATGTCCATGCACCTTTCACATAAAAAATTGATAAAATTCTGTAAATACGCTGTTTTGACGGAATATAGTATGTGTTGTCCTGTCTATCCGTCTGTCTGTTTGTCCAAAAATCTTTTAAAACATTGTCCATAATGTTTAGTTCCTTGAAGCTCGATCATACATTTTTCACACAAATATTTCTTGTGAAATGTCCTATCATAGGGTACTAACGCATTTGACCTTTTGACCTTCTCCTTGGAGAAAATAGAAAATCTTTTTTTTTAGTTTTAACCCGTTTGACAATACATTCGTTATCAAATAATCATACTTTGCTCTTTGCACATTGTTTGACTTTGTCTGTTTTAAATGCCTACATGTACAAAAGGGAAAATTATTTTAAAAGAAACTAAAGAAATGCGTCATTTCTTTTTTAAAAAAGTGTTGGATGGGTGATCTTTTATAGAAAAAAAATAGAACGAGTTTAAATGTGGGCTACTTGAGCTGGTGTAACGACGAAAAGTGACCCCGTAGAGTATTTTGTCGTTACAAGGCTTTAATAATTGATCTTAAGATTGATATATACCAAAGATATCAGAAATAACAATCAGGATTTAGAACAATGTCAATGTTCCATAAGTAAAAATGCTGTTGAAAGGGAATGTCTTAAATCTTTGTATTAATTTTCAAAAGCCCAATGCCAGACAAAATTAACACTGAGAAGGTCTAATGCTCGCTGTTATAAGACATGAATAAGAAAGAATATCAGTTTACTAAAATAACGCACATAGCAAGATTCCTTTTTGTTTTTTGCGCTGACACACTGAACATGTTATTGGGTTTTTTTTCCTGATGATAAAAATAAATTTAAGTAAACATGATTGCATTTTTTCATTATAAGAAAATAAAAGATGACGACCGTAAATATACTTTAGTTTGTCTACCTGTGCTTTGAAGTTTTTTCATTTATATTTTCGCACACTTCCAAACACGGAAAGTTACGAATTGCACCTACATGAGTATACCAAATATAGTCGATCATTTATTATCCTACATTTACAGCTTGAACAGAAAAATTATAAAATGGGCATTTTTGATATTTTGGAGTACCTCAATATTTTATTAAGTAGCTTTTATCCTTTTTAAATCCTTGAATTAAAAAAAAATTATCAACCCGAAATAGTTTTGAGACAAAAGAGACAGTTTGATCCGAAATTCGATTGTACTGAAATGACCGGTGTGAGAATTGTAAAAAGTTGCATGACAACTTTATGGGTCTTCCTCACAACGAAATTGATTGTTTTCATCATTCAAATAAGTTGCGAAATAATTCATATTCCTTTTTTAACATGTTATTTTTCATAATTCTGCAAGCATCCAGCTCGTCTTTCATCAAAAATACCCAGACTGACGCTTGATTCTTGGTTCTTATGTTGAACTGTTGAGTAATCAATCCACCAGTGAATTAGTTGAAAACCTTCCCCCTGTCTATGAAAGTTTGCGATGGGCTTTGATGTCACAGATTTTTATTGTGTTATTGAAATGCAACATTAAAAACGAAGTAAGAGATGTACTGCAGTCGTCAGAGATAAAGATTTAAGATGATTTTTTTTTTAAAGGTGGGGGGGGGGGGTAAGAAGGGACTTGAATGAGTTTGCGCGAGAAGAGAGGAAAATGGAGGGGGTGCGGATTTCACCTAATGTATGCTGCATCCGTGAACCTATGGACTTTACTTTTATTTTAAAGGGACACAATAAAAGCAGGGAAAGAAAACATGTTTGCAGGAACTTATCCAACATACTATTTTTTCCGTAACTTTGAATTTTCGTTATCGTTTGGATAGAAATATAATGTGTAGATTCTGTCAGGAATAATTTTTTAAAAAATGATTGAGAAATTTTGACATACTAGTAATACATTGCTAGGAAAATATTTCTCCAAAATTTATAATAGGGAAGAAAAAAATCAGCATTCAATTAGCTTCAGATTCATTTTTTGTATTTTAGTTGGTTAATACAACAGTATACAAGGCTAATACAAAATGGAATGTAGCTCCGCCCTCTGTAGTCCCGTTCAGAACAGCAAACTTAATACTTAGATTTAACCATCATCGTATGAAATTTAACATATTACTTGTTTTGGTTGAAAAATCAGCGTAGACTGCCCTTTGTTTTGAAAAGTCCGGGAGGTGGCGACACCTCTATCCTCTGTTTTTAGAGGATAAAAACTATCTTCTAAAAACAGAGGCTGCCTAGACCTGTATAATAAACAACTCTTATTAGTGATTTAAATGTGGCTATAAATAAAAATATAGTAATTCCTTTTTTATTCGTTTGATGGATCTACACCTCATAATTTTCACCTCAATTTATTTATTTCCCTACTCTCTTATTTTCCCTTTTTAAAGCGTTCAAGCTAGTGTTCAAGCTAGAGTTGATGCTACATGTAGATTACTTAAAATTTTCTAGTATGGCTCTTTTCATGCTAGAACTGAGTTGTTTCCCTTTGTTTTTTCAGACAACTCCTAACAGGTGGCGGTTCAGAGTGTATTAAGGTCACAGCTTTACTTCTCTCACTCGGCTTACAGTTCAGAATAACCTCACTCACAAATATAATTAATAAATTACTTAATATAAGATTTTTTTATCTTAAATACAAACACAATACTGGGAATACATGATGGTACCTGGAACTATAATCACACAAACATAATATTTTAAAAATTAAAAATTGATTGGATTCGTTCAGAGAAATATTGTTGAAATTTAAAGCCTGGAATTTTTTTTTTTAAATTTGAATGTTTGTTGTTTAAACTGTCATGTGTATACATGTAATTATGAAGACTGCATGTAAACACTTGGTATACTTTTCAATAATTATTAAAGTACTTGCATTCAAGAAATTTCCTATTTCAGTTTGATAGACAACTGTTTCAGCTTAAAATTTTGTTGTTGAGTAAACACACCAGATAGAGTACATATATGTACAGGAGATATGTAATAAAAAGATCATCTTCAGAAACTCTGTTTGTTGCTTTTCTGAAGCGGATTATAAAAAAGCGTAAACTGACCCAAACCAGATTATACTCGATAATATGGCCAAGAATTAGAGTCATTCCTTATAATTTAATTTTAAAATAATTAAACAACTTTTGATGTAAAATAGTGTTGCTTTTTATAAGTTCAAATTTACCGCGCAATAATACAACCGTAGTAACGGAAGTGATTTGAAGGGAGGGGAGGTAATAACTGATACATAGATCTAGCAGCCATGATGCTTGTTTACATGAGGTAAGATCGAGTAATTGTTTATAGTTGAAGGTACATTTATTAAATCTTGAATTTTCCATGGATTCCGAGGACTGGAAATGAGGGGATTGCATGGATAAGATGATTAAGCTGTTCGTTAAGGGGGTCTCCATACCAAACCAGATTATACAAATATTTTGCCATCCTTTTTGGAAATCAACCAATGAGAGGCGAGAATACAAGCAAAATTCAATTATTAGATTATAATTGTTACTAAGCATTTTAGAAGGTTTCTTAGTCAACCTAAAGAATATTTATAACGTAGATAACTTTCAGGTGCAGGTATTTAAATCATGT